TTCCACACAAGCTGGCAGTGAGAAGAGTACAGGCTCTGTTTGTGTCTGCAGTGGTGAGGGCCTGGTGATGCTTCTGGAGGCAAGTGTGTGGGGCTGGGGAAAGGCCAGTGAATGCTGAGCAGAGTCATAGATAGACTGAAGATGCCATCTGGCAAATAAACATTCAGCACCCCCAGAACAGCCCTGAAAGCCTCCTGGTGAAAGTAAGAAAGCAAGCTGTGCTTCCCCTGATGAGGCCCCATGCCATCAGGTCAGCCAGAGCTTCAGCCCTGGGTTGAGGGAAAGAGTGAGGCTGGAGGTATCACCAGGCTGAAGCTGTTGGCCTCCAAGTTGGTAACAGCCTGACGACTCCATACATTTACAAAAGCTTCCAGCAAAATTCCTTCAAAGCAAAACAAAAACAGAGCTCCAGATATGTTGGACCAAGTTCCCTGGAATATTCAGCTGTCTTTGAAGTAAGTGGCAATTCCCAAACAGCAACAAGGAGAAAAAATGATCACCATGGGGCTAATCTCCCTCATGAATATTCCTGTGCTCATATGGAATTTGGTCTGGGAACAAAAGACTCCTCAACCCTGCACCAAGTTCTGCTGCTGTCATGCTGCAAAGCCAAGGTATTTAAACTTCTGGCTCACAGGGATTTCCAACACAGATGACTCAGTTCTTAGCACTTCAGTTATTCCAATTAAGCGTGCTGTACTTAAACTGAGGGTGAAAAAGAAGTGTGTTTCAGATTAACTAACTATACCAGCAAATTATCTGTGGTGCTCACATGCACACACCCTCAGCACAGATCTGTTAGATCAGTTCCAAGAAGTGGAGACCCACCAGCTCAGGCAGCTGCACTCCTCTGCACTGAAACTCTCAGCAGCAGAACTACCAAATGCTAAAAATGCTGCCATAAGGAAGAGTGATTGAAACGATTACTGAAGCACATGAGGACAGCAGCCTCCACCCATGACTCCATCTTTATTTCTCACAAGCCAAGTTGAGAAAGGTCAAGATCTGAAAAAGCATTACAAAGTTCTGTGGACATCTCTGTTAAGAATGTGCGTGTTTACAAAGCTGGGACAAGCATGAAAAGAGAGGCATTAGCAGAGATAAAACACCATCATCTAACATGTAAAAGTCAAATGCAAATAAGGAAAATAGCAGAGCAAAAACCCTGATATTAAATCTAAAATAGTAAAGCAAGTTCCAGAGAACTTTGATAGACTTCTCAATGAAATGCTAAGATTGATAACATTTCTTCCCCGGCACATTGGAAGCACAAAGCTTGCCAGAAAGTCTGTGAGGCTGATCAGGGCATGCACTGAATCCTTAACCAGTGCTCCTTTTGGACAGATGGAGTAGATATGTGCAGCACTGAGTCTTTTGAAAAGGAGAGCAGACAAACAAAAGTCCACCTCCCCTCCAATCTCAACTACTACAAACAAATAAAAAGGATAATAAACAAATAAAAGGACAGAAGGACAAACGTGGCTTTGTGTTTGTATTTCAGAGTGGGAATTCACCTAGCAGCTGCTTTTCTTCCTCTCCACCTAAACACGAATTTCTGTGAACTGCAGAAATCCACAATGCAAACGAAGGACTTTCATTCCACTTCAGCCCCAAACACCCTGAACGTCCTACACCATAATCATGTTATTGGCCTACTTTATGGGACTGATCCAAGTCTCCTGAAATTACTCTGCTTCCAGACTACGAACTTTTATTATCTAATAAAGAACTTTAAAGACTTTGGGAAAATAAATACAGAGACAAGACTCACTCACGAGGTAGAGCAGGTGCAAGAGGGACATCGGTGCTGCCAGTTTGGAGATGGAGGGCCAGAGATGCCAGGCAGAAGCAGTTCTCTTCCTGTGCTGACTTTCCAGCTCTGCACATCTCATTGCTCACAGAGATGGTGACTCCTCTGTAGATTTCCTAGCTGAGGTGTTGAGGTGTACACTAGTGGCATTTTAATAAAACTGCAGATGCAAAGAGCTACTGAAAGGCAAACTTATGTTACAAAGAAGTACACTTGGGCTTTTACTGATCCCTCATCTCTGTATCGTTGACCCTCATTTGGTGCAGAGTAGCCCACAGTTACCCCCAGACAGTTCATACTGTGTAACAAGTGCTACTTGTATGCAGGGTGTGTTTCTACCAGTGATAAGTGAGGTAAATGAGCAAACACTGAGCAATCAGAGAAGTTAACAGTGTAGAAAATCATTTGGGAATGTGGGGACTGGGGAAGGGAAGAAGAACCGACAGAGATGGAGCTCTTAGCCCAGCGTTCATTTTCTGAGCACCCTCTAGCCAAGAGCACAACAGGTCACACACATACACTGCTAGCTGCCTCCCGCTCCCCTCCTCTAAGGATTCTCTGTGTTTACAACGTTTGACAACCATCAGAGCCTGACCGTCCTGAAAGGCTGCAATGCTCTGTATCCCACATATCAGAACTGAAAAAGATCACATCAACACCAGAAATAAAGCACTCTCTGGGCTCAGATTGCAATGACAGCAGCCAGCGGTGAGGCAGCCACAGCCGCACACCCTTCTGATTCACTGCTGCTGGAGCAGCCAGGAAGTGGTGAAGGGGAACAGTTTTCTTTAAAAGGTTGCCTTTCTTTTTAACCCCAGAGGGATAAATTACATATATAGATGTTAAAATACAGTGAAGAAGAACAAACCTAATCACTAATCACAGGAACAGTCCAGCTGACAAATCCGCCAGCCGCCTCGCTTTGGAAATAACTCTTTGCAGCTCACGTAGACGCTATATAAAGCATCTGTTCTTTGTCTGAGCCCTTCTGCTTGTCACATTTCAAAGACTCCTTTAACCAGCTAACGAGGCAATGGAAAATATGCTCAGATGCACATGGGGTCATGAAGAGAGAAGGAATCAGCCGGGACGCAGATATATACACCTCCTTATATTGGCTTCAGTCTCAGAGCATGCTTGAAAAAAATAACAGGGAAAAGAACAGCAATAACATGTGCCATCTGGGGAGGAAGAGAAACCTGCTTCAACCTCTACACCTTAGGAAGCATACAAACTGGACATGAAGCTTATTGGGAGAAAATGACGCTGATAAGCAGTGAGAAGGATTACTGTGCAGTGGGAAACATTTGAAGCCTGGTGTAGATGCCACAGAAAGCAATGACCTGGCAAAGTGTGATGGAGGAGATGCAGTTTGGGAGCTATACAGTCTGCATTTACCTCCTATTCCAGCCAGGGACCAGGCAACCTTGACCAAATACACAGGAGAGGATTTGAGCACCCACAAACCTACATGGAAGATAATGAGAGCTGCTGGTGTCTTCTCTCCATTCATGGATGGGCCTTCAGGGTCTTTTGGCTCATACACAGAGTGGACACAGGAGAGAAACTGCAGCTGTTCATTCACTGGGGTTGGAGAATCTTTTCTGTTTTTTTCTCAGATGAGAATATTGCCAAGCCTTCCACTTAGCACACGGATGGATTTCAGATGCAGGATCAATGCAGGTGGACAAGAAAACACAAGGAGCAGAAGAGAGAGGGTACCTCACCATTTGATAATTTCTTGTGCAAAGGACTGAAGAGTTCTGTGACAAAACATTATGCTCTCTTAAGAGTGGTTTCCAAAATTCTGTTGGGCCATCAAAGCTGTGAACCACCTTCTAAGTCCTTCCTCTGGAAGGGATAGCAGACATCTCTCAAAGCAAATCCCAGACAGCCTCCCTGTTTGCTACATGACCAAAATGCAAAGTGGCTCAGCTGGTGAAACCAAAGAGGAGCCTTGTGCATAGACTGAGGACACAAAAAGAATGGAAGATTACTGACATTAACCTCAACAGTACTGACTCACCTCAGCTTTATAGGAGGGGCCCCACTGCAGAAAAGTAACTCCACAAAAATCTCCTTTCATCCACGATCAAAAAAACCTGTGCACACCAGTTTGGGAATGGCTAAACCTTCTGACCAACTCGATGCAGTGGTTTGCTGCATCTGTCTGTCTCTGTCTGCTGTCCATCATTCTTCACTTGTGAGCTTTAGAGGGCTGGGGCTGATGTGCTGTGCAGTGACTGTGAAACACAAGGAATACCACAGTCCTGTTTCACAGTGAACACCAAATGTTTTTTTGGAAAAAATTTAATGCACATCAAAATATTAACACTGCAAACTAAAGAAAGTGATTTAAAGATAAACAGGTTCAAGAAGCAGGTTACCTTGAAAGCAAGCTGTCACAGCCCACACCTATCAAAACCACTACCAACAAGCACAATTTTTCTTTCGTTGTTTATTAAGACTCCAGGAACAGACAGCATATCTGATTCTGCCCTTCTTGAGAATCTCAAAGTGTCCCTGTTACAGCAAAGCACCATGCACAGCAATAGATTACCATGTCAGATGATCCCTTTGTGCAATATGAGCACTTTGCCAAATCTTGGGAACACTTAGGACAAAGCCATAGATGGAAAAAGCAGCTGAAGGTTTTACAAAGCAAGAAAACATCAGAAGCTGGAGTGAGAAAAGTTAGTTACAATTCAGAGACCCAAAACAGTGAGGATGCAGAGGGAATCATCCAGCACAGGAGAATAATCTGATTTGAGCAGGTTATAAAAGTAGTACTTCTGCTGCCAGTCACACAGATGTAAATAAGCAACAGGATTAAAATGGTTGTATCCAAAAGACAAGTCTTCTAGATTCACTTGCTCAAAGTAGAAACAAGAGATAGGAGATCTTGAGTTACAGTTTATCTTACTGAAAGAAAGGTACCACCATCATTTGTAGACTGCAGGTTTTTCACTAATCTTTCCTTCTATGAAAGATGTATCCAAAGCAACAGGTTCAGATGTTTCTAATAAGAGGTCATGAAAAACAAGAGATAACTTGCATGGCAATGAGGTCAGCACAGTACTGGGTGAAATGTAATCAGAAATTTGATTACACCTTGGAGTCCACACTGATCACATCTTCAACTCTTTTTGAGAGAGGTTGATGTTCTGAAAATACATCCAAGAATCAACACTTTCAATTAAGTAAACTTGCTATATTTATAGTTTGCAGAATAGTACATTATTATTTTTAAATGTAGGCTAAAAGTGAGATAGCTCATTTTTTCCTCCTCTTCAGAGCTTAAGACATTTCCCACCCTGAGGCAGTGTGCACAATACAAAAAAGCAATGAGGTTCTCGTAGTCAGTTACAGAAAGATAAGAAGCTCACTAAGGCTGACAGGAGACGTTGACCACATGAAGCATTTGGGACCATCTATCTCTCAGAAGCACTGTGTAAAATTCTGCTGCTGCTTTCTACAGAAGCAATGCAATCTCTAAAAGACAGATGCTTCAGAAATTCACCTAGCGAAGTTACAGTTCCAGAAAACTCACATCACTTATGTGCTCTTAAGCAAATGTGCACATTGTGCAAATGATTTCATTACTATCATATGAAATGGGAATTCTGGTGTGATCCCAGCACTGCAGGTACTGAGACAAAGACTTAGCATGGCTCACGATGGCTGAAACCTGAATATTTGTCCACTCACATCTCACAACAGCAGTGTTTTACACATCATTGACAATTTTTTATGCCTCTAAAATACTCTGTATTCCAAAGCTCTCCAGTGCAGGTTGTTGTGTTGTGACAAAAGAATAAGTTAACTCATTCTTAGATAGGTGAACTCCATTCTCTGCTTCTCTATGGCAAACAACATTATTTTTATGCAGCTCAGAAAGCACTGCCTTCCAAAGACTACTCCCCACTGCCCCTAAGATCTTGCTCTTGCACCTTTAAACATGGTAATAGGAAAGTGTCAGTCAGAAAAGCTTGAGGAAAAAAACGGTTTCTTCAGAGGAAAATTTATAATTAAAGTGCATGAAAACATTTAATGTCACAGGGTGAACCACAGTCATTGATGAAATGCACTTTAACACTGATAATGCCTTCAATTCTTCCAGCTGCTATAGGAAGAACTACTCCTTTGAAGATGGAAGCAAGGTTGCAAACAAGAGAACCCGCTAAAGATTTCTGGTTTGTCCCTTTAGAGGCATCATCTCAGTTGCTGATAGCTGGGGCTGCAGCAGTGACTGCTCCTCTGAAACAGCTGATCTCAGTTGTTTCTGTGGCACCTGTTTCCGTGATCTCGTCTCTATAGCAGGAGACACAAAAACAGCAGCCCTTTGTCAGCAGGAAGCTAACAAAGGGATCCAGTTTTTAGAAGATGCAGGTTTAGGGAAACCCAACATACAGCCAATTCAGTATTTCAAGTGCTGAAACCTCCCCATTCCTGCAGTTCTGGCATCTAGAAAGAGACTATGCTGAAAGAGCAGGAAGCTGTGTAATTCTGATGGAGATTCTGCCCAAGCTGAGCAAAACGTTTCTAGAGAAATTCACAGCTCTCCATACAGAGCTGCCTCCCAGGTACAATGAGGGGATCAAACAATTAGATCTAAGGCAGAATTTGGCGAAGTTATGAGTGTTAGTGCCCTGACTTATGCTGTAAAAGCTTTGATTTTAACACCTGCAGAATGAGTGGGTTTACATTTTAGCTTTTTTTATACAAAAATCAACATGCATTTGGGGTACTGATGTAAGCCAAAGGCAAGAACAGCCCTTGCTCCACTCAGCAGTGCTTCCTGCCTATTTCCAATAGAGATAAATAGGAATGGCCTCTCCTTTGTTCTCGCTATTTATTCCTGAACTCCAGTTCTTTATGTGCTCAGCTCACAAGTGATGCTGCTACTATTTAGTACTCTGAAACAATTTCTTGAGCAAACTGGCCTAAAATTTCTGTTACCAAAAGACATAACATGCAAACAGGGTGGCTGAGCAGGAAGCCAAAAGGACACAGAAGACATTTCCTCATTATTTGACTTTACCTTCCGGATTTATTTCCAAATCATTGGTGTTTCCAGGCTCTTGCTTGAGAACTCCCACTTCCTTTGCCCAACTTGTCCATTTTATTTCCTCTACTCTGGAGAAACAAAATGCAAAAGACACAGACGCATGAAGCACAGCATTTCATCCAGGTCTCATTGTCCTGTGGCCAACCCCATCCTGCTAACACAGACTTAATACTTCGATTGTAGCAACAGCACCCTACAGAGCTTTTTCTTGAGCAAAGACCTTCTGTAGTCTAAGCTCTCTGAGGTAAATCCCTATCCCTCTGCACGTGGTACGCTGGCCTATGCCACTTGTTTGTTTTAAAATACTCCAGTTCCTCCCAGGGAACATTCTTAATACAAAGGAACCTCTTAGATTCCTCTTTCTATGCACGCTTCATTGCATGTAAAACCCTGGAGCTACAGAAGTGCTGCTGGCACTTTGTTTCTCTGAGTAGAGAAAAGTTTACCTGCGCTCTGAGCCCCTCAGTGGGTGGAGAAGTACTGCCTTTTCATGTTGCACTCATATTGCATGCTCCTGATGGAAGGGGAAACCAGCCTACACCCCTACCACCACAGCCAACTCCAAGCACAGCTACTTGCAGCAGTGAAGAAAGCATTGCTGCAGACAGCCTGCCACCATCACCACATCCACAGATATGGGCTAAACAGCACGTCTTGGTGACTTGCTCTCAAACTTTCAGCAGTGACATCACCAGCCAGCGTGCATATACCAGGAACATGTGGTTGAGACACTTAGCCAAGTCAGTGTTGAAACTCCTGTGGTGGAGCAGGGTTAGCAGCTTATCATTCACAGGAATCCATCACTATGCTGGAGTTTAAGTTTAAGGGTAACAGCACATCTGTCTTACCTGAAGCACCACCTCTCATCTTTTTTATTGAGGCCCACTGACATCAAGCAGCCAGATCTCCTCTTTCCTCCTTGGCGCCACAGCCAGGCCTTCTCTATTTCTAGGATAGCAATAGCCCTCTGAAAGAAGAAGTCCATGTCAGGGAAAAACAGGCCATGCAGAGCCCAGTCCCTCATTTTCATTAAATCTTCCCCCCAGTCAGCAAGTACTTTGACTTGGAAAATCACTTCAGAGATCAGCCTCGAAGTGTTCCTTAGCTTAACTGTATCAGGCCAAAATTGTAATTCATTCAAGTTACTTGTGCACATGGATCTGAATGGGCTAGTAGTCAGGCAAACAGCATGAGCTTTAAATACACCTAAAAATGATGTTAGAGTTTATCCCCAGAGTGGTAAATTTATATAAATGAAAACTTTACAGTTGAGGTTCAGGACAAAGACAGCGTCATGCCTGATGTTACGAAATTCAAATAGGAATTTGGACCATGATAACTGCTGAGCAGCACTGTGTCTCACCTGCAGCTTCCAAACACTTTTGCTGTAACCAGAAATATCAGTGACAGTCTCACTCATGAGTGCAATCAGCATGTTGAGCAACAGGATGTAAGTGAGGATCACAAAAAGCAGCAGCAGAAGCATGACAAAGTATCTGAATCTGGCATGTTCGTGAAAATCCAGGTCACCCATCCCAATGGTGATCTTGAAGAGCTCCAGGGAGACACTGAGCAGCCCACCATACATAGCATGGCTCCCAGCACTCTCCATCTGAGCAACAGACTTGTTCTGAGAGAGTGAAGGAGCGTCCCCCATCAGCGTAACCAGAGCTACAAGAAAAACAGAATTTGAATCCTCCTCAGAAAGACATTACTTCCTGCAGCCCAGCCTATAACACGATGCTGATTAAGTCCTTACCTGCAGCAAAGCCAAAGAGGAAGATAATATAAACCAAGAGGAAACGCAACAGATCTCTCAGGATAGTCTGAAATAAACGAGGAGGAAGTGTCATTCCTTCTCAAGCAGCTGTTCCCAGATTATTCCAATGCACATAGCTCTTTCTCTTCTATCCTCACTGGGTTTCATACAATTGGTGGTCAGCCTTCTTCCCTTCTCACCTCTGCTTTGCCTTGCCTTTCTAGTTCCAAACTCTCATAAGGATTTGGAAACACTCCTCAGTCCAAGCACAGCTTTTCCAGGGAGCTTAACACTGGCTTTGACTGCTGGATTTGTCACTTTCTGACCAACAAGTAAATGTCAGCTGCTCTAACTTGCCAGATTCAAAGATGGCAAAGCAGTGGTTTGCCACAACTGTACAACTGCACACAACTGTACTTGAAGGAGAAATCTAATCTCCTTCTGCAATTTATTTCAAGTCCATATATCAATTCATTTTACCGTTTTCATGGTCTTGAGGGAATAAAAGTAACTGCAGGAATTCTATTAGCTCCTGACACATCAAAGTTTTTCACATAAAATGTCTCCCAAGCACTGACCTTCTGTATCATGACACTGTAAATGCCGATGCGCTGAAAGCCCCGAGTGTAATACAGCATGTTCACCCATCCCAGAAGCAGGGAGAACACCATCACTGCCACGTAGTTTTCTGAACTTGCGCCATACAGGACTGCTGACAACAGCAATGAGAAAGCCTGGATGAAGCTGGAGAGAAGTAGAATGAGTGACACAGTAGTTTGCTTCAGCAAAAAGGCCCATTTGCAGTTCTGTTTTGCAGGAAAAAGTGAACATGTTTTACCAGGCTACAGAGAGCACAAAGTGACAGCTATTCAGGCACATAGTTTATATAAGCAAATCCTGTTACAACCAAATGTGCATATTGTTGCAGTTTTGTTATGAACTAGTTAATCTCACAGTATGGAAGCTCTCAACTGCTTAATGCAACTCATGTAACCGATAGAAAACAGAAAAAGAACTGTAACTCACAATTACATGCACACATACATGCAAACACATGCATCTACACATTTGTCCTCAAAAAATATGAAGTTTCTTTCTTTTTGATCAAATTTATGACATGGTGATGATTCAAAACTTGAGCTCTTTTTCTAACATGCTCGAAACTGTGGAATAACCGAAGATCTGCCCTTTGCTGTATTCCACCACAAATCCAAAGACAGGCTCTACCCCACTAAGTCTGTTACAACAAAGGGTTATGACAAGATGCAACAGGTAGGAGAAACAAGCAGGGAAAGGGTGGAAAGAAGAGACAGCGGCAGAGAATCAATCTTTCCTGCTCACCATCTCTCTAGTAATGTTAGGGCAACTTAGCAGCACACAGCAGAGAACCAATTTCACCCGTGCTTTCATTGCGCAAAAAACCTCAAGAGACATACATCAAGATCTCAACACAGCTGTCAGAACACATAGTCTTCAGGGACTGGCGTCTCCTCCGCAGATACAGACTCTAATTGAGAAAAATCAAGGGTAGCCATTCATCAGAGCAACAGAACATCCTACAGATCGATTCCTGCTGGCACAGCCTATTGCACGGGAGAGAGGTTCACTCCACAAACTCCTCCTTGTGCTTTCATTGTCAAGATCCAAATTTTCAGTTAGTCACTCTTCCACAGCCTTACTTGTAAAAGGAGAAGTACAAACAAAGGCTAGATAATGGCTCAGCCTTATGTCCTTCTTAATAGTATTAATAGCATTAAATGCTAGAGATGCATTTTAGTACCATAAATCACAAGTCACTCCTAATCAATTACTGTTGTGAGCCTATTCCTCCTCTTGCCCTGGAGCCTGGTCTATACCACTCCTGTCATTACAGGATCACTCTGATACTGTGTTTCACAGCAGGGTTCTCTCCTGCCATCCACTCATGCACATTCTGACTTCAGAATCAAACAGAACCAAATCTGTTGCCTCCATGTCAGTGATGGTTCTGTTTGCTTGTTTTCATTCTTACAATGAGACTAGACCAGAGAGCCACATACCTGAGCAAAAATTAGGTATACACCTCCAAGCAAAATAATGATCAGCCCAGAGACCCACAGGAAGCCTCCAGCTGTGAACTCCACTGGAAATGAAGGCTGCAAGATAAAGACAAAGAAGCAAAATACCAAATAGTGACATTGGCACTTGTGATAAACACCCCAAGGTTTTTAAAACTCAACTCCATTCACTCAGGTCTTTTTAGATAAAAGAATATTAGGCTTACCTTTACCCTTAAGGGCTGATAGTAGGCAATGGCTGTAAAGATGATCATGAATGACAAGTATGAGATAAAACTGAAGTAGAATCTCTTGGAAGCAAATGTTTCCCACTTCTGCTGAAGCAATTTGTTCAGTGGCTCCAAAACCACCATTTTGTACCGATTCTAAGAAGGAAGAAAACCACCATCAGCAACAAACATATCAAAGTATCAACAGAAACACGAATTCACCAGAGGATTATCTTTTTCAGGGTTGGAATTCAGTGGCTGCAATTAGGCTATCCCTAAGGGTTTACTCAGTTAAGACTGTCAGTATGAAAAACATTACACATCCCATGGGAAGTTAATTCTGCTTGGCTTCATGAGAAAAGCCAAGCAGCTTAGGACAACCTCAGCTTAGGACAACCAAAGGATCAAAACCATCTCAAGGTGGTGCAAAAACTGTTGCTGTCTTTAACTTTCAGTAAAAAGCACTCACTGGTGTGTCACTGCTGTATGCCAGAATCTCCAGCACAGAGTTTTCCTCAAAGCTGTCTAGAGAAGACAAGTCATAGAGGGAGACGTGGATAGGTCCATAGGTCCATTCAGTGAACTTGCGGGACAGGTGCCTGTACACTGGGTCTTTGATCTCTCTTTGGATGATGTGTTTGAAGATCTGAAGAGAAAAATATCAGAAAAACATGTATGCAATTAATATACAAAGTGACCCAAGTGACCCAAATCACCTTCAAATAAACAGCTTGCCTTCTGCATTACACACTGTTGTATCTGAACACCAGACTATTTGGTTAATATCAGGCAAGATACTACATCAGACCCTGCTGTTATGCTGAGGATGTATGCTGCAGTTGTCATTGTTTCCCAGCAACCCCAGGAATTCCCTCTATTTGTCTTTACCTCCACTTTGCCTGTCTTGGCAGCAAGTTGCAGGGGATTTAATCCATCATAATTCACAATCTCCTCCAGTTTCACTGTTGGGTCAGTCTTCACACCTGCCTTCAGGATTTCAACGTATACTGTGCTCACAAACTTGGTGTTCTCCTCAGTGTCATCTGCAATCATCACCAGGGCATGGAGGACTGTGTTTCCCTGTGTATCTTGCTCCTGGAGTCTGGCTTTTTGGTGGGGGTTGTTTAGAAGATATTCTACAACCTCAAACTGGTTGGTACAGGCAGCCAAAGAGAGGGGAAGTTCACCTGAAGAGATAAAAACAGCAGTTGGGAGGGGCAGCAGGAAGTGTGAAAAGAAATCGAAAGAATTGAAAGTGAAGTCGTGAACAGAGGGACAAACCCAGCTAAGACTAGTGGCATTGAACACAGTAAGGCATTAAAACAACCCAAAGAAATGTGCTCCACACAGGCTCACCAAAATAAAAGCAAACTCCCTCGTTCTTCTTCCTGAAGAATTCACCATGAGCTCTGGCATGGACGTCAGCTCCATTCTCCACTAGAACTTTCACTATGTCCAGGCTCCTTCTCTCTATGGCAATATGGAGTGCAGTCTGGCCTAAGGAAACAGGCAAAAACCCAGAAATCAGTACCAGAGAGTATAAGAGAGAACAAGCAGAGGACTCTTTGGCAAAACACTGTTGAAACAGTAAAGGATAACTCAGCTAGCAGAACTCATTCTTTAACAGCTAGGTAGTATTCCTTTTTCACTTTCAGAAATGCTGTATAAACTTTGCTACACAGATTCTTTCATATTTGTGGATTTATTAAACACGTATTATTTCTGTTCTATAGACTAAGGACAAAGTTGCAAAAGGCTGAGGAGGAAAGTGCCAGAATCAGAAATCAGAAATGGAAAGATGAGCAGGCTGTGACCGTAATTACACCAGAACTCTGGAAAGGCAGTGCCACATAAACACCAAATCCCCTTCTTTCTCCTGTACCTCTGTGTCTCACCTGTCTGATGGGGAGGTGCATCTGACACAACACCAGCAGAAACCTTACCTCTGTAGTAACAGTCAGAGCATGCCACGTTGACAAGCGGCCTGGGATTCTGTGTCTTCTGATCTATTTCCAGCAAAAGAGGGATTGTGTCATTCCTTCCATTTTTCAAATTCATCAGGGCTTTCATTAAGCAAGTCTTCCCAGTCTTTGCATCTAGTAGAAGAAAAAAGTATCAAGTAAGTTGTGGATATGTGTCTTGCACATATCTGTATTACCTGATTCAGCACACCCAGAACTTAACTCAGTGTAGGACCAAACCCAATATTTTTAATGGCTTTTGTATTCTAAGTCTGCAGCAGAGGCAAAAGCCTTAGGAAATATGCAACTAATGGCACTTCCCTGTGCTACATTAACAAGCATTGCCTCTGCTACCCCAGTTTCTGAGCAGGAGCCCACCTGTGTATTCAGAATTGGTGAGAAATTTTGAGGTCCTCCTTAAGTACTCAAGTAAGCCATCCAGTGCCTCGGGGCTGCCCCTGGAGACTGCACTGAAGAGCCTGTCTCTGTCAAAGCGATTGGGGTCCTTTTGGCTGCAGAAGAAACGCACAGTGTTAAGAAGTCCTGGAGACTGCAAGACAAGAGCATGCAACAAGTTCTAGTCTGTTGCGTAAGAAAAGAGGAGAGAGGTAAAAAAAAAAAGTTTCTCAGAAAAAAAAAACAAAACTGTATTTTTGAGTCAAAGGAAAAATACAGACAGCTATTTCCCATAATGCTCTTAAGTGATTGCTGTTTCCATCAGCTGGAGCTCTTCCCAGATGCAGCCTGATGTGCAGTTCTGGAATGTATCCAGAGCACAGACAAGCCCAAGAGAGCTGCAGGATCAGAATAGGTCCCACCACGTGGTATAAAGCACTACATGAGCTCATTTACACCCCTTTCTGGCAAGAACAGTTCAGATGTATAGAGCTCCATGCTGAGTTGCTCTTACACTCAACTTGGCTTATTTGGTGCTATTTGGTTCAAATATACCCCAAATAAACAGCACACACCGTACCTTCCAAGTATGGAGAGGAAGAGCTAACATGTCCCCTTCCTACCTTTATTTATACCTCTACCAGACAGCTGTAATATTTCTGCATTGCCACTTTTAGTTTCAACTTCTATAAAGTCTGTAGGCAGGAGTCAGCACAGATCAACAATGATCCTATCCTTGTCAAATAACCAACAGTTACTCACTTGCTCACAAGTCCTGGCCGATAGTTCAGATTAATCATGACTTTAGGAGAGTAGTCACTGCTTTCCTTCTGGTAAGGTGACTCCAAAGGCCGGGGCTCTCCCTTCTTTCCATATTGTCCTGATCTTTCTTCCTTTGTACTAGATGCAGGCTTATCCTCCTGGATAGTGTCATCTGTTTCTAGCAGTCCTACCAACCTGTTCCTCTGACATGGGCCTGACTGATCATTTGTGAAGTTATCCATTTCTAGCAGAGATGGCCTTGCAGATCACCAGATGTTGCCCACTGGGAGAATAAACCTGCAATAGCATGGGAGAATTAATACAATTTATTCGTAAACCTAGAATGTGAGCCATGTGGCACAGACATAGAGGAAACGTTTCCAGGTCCAATGCTCCTACTATAGGGGGACTATAGGGGTCTTGAGAGAAAAGATTCAATAAAGTTCTGCACAGTCGGGCGTATTTGAATAAAGGATCAATGTCTTAAACATGGCACACCTAGAAAAGCAGCACAAGAAGTAGAGACTGCCAGAAGTAGTACAAGAAATACAGACAACTCTTCGACCGAACATCTGAACCCCTTTTGTGAGATGATCTCACCTGCTGGCAGCAGCATGGGTTCCTTACATAAAAGGCAAAGAGAGTGGATCTTTAGGAGACTACGATCACTGTTCTTGTCTCAGTGCAGCCAATACCAGCCAGTCACTGAGTGGCCAAAAGATAAGATTAACTATAGATTAACTTTTTTGAAACAGAGCAATAAGCTGGTTCATGTTCTCTCATGTTAAGAAAGGCACTGTTTCCATGGGGGAAACATTTGCAAAAGTTATGTTCCTCTCATGTATTGTTGCACTGCACTGGGGCAAAATACAAGAGAACTCCCTAGCCATGTGAATACAGGCTTCCAACTTCCAGCTCCATAGCACAGGCACACACACACGCTGGCTGCCACACGGACACTCATAGTCCTCAGAACCTGAACACAGCTCAGCTCTCCCAAAAGCAATGCTGGACCCAGATGTGCCGTGCACATAACCTACGTATTCATTACAGCACCCAGTTAGCCCACTTTAGTATTTTTTACCCTTCTGAGACATCTCTTCATGTTTATCTGGATACATCCCAGATCCACACCCAGTGCAAGCTGCCTGCAGCCAGCACATTATGAAGAGTCGCAGTTTGTGAAGCAGCAAGGAAACATCCACAATTACCAGCCTGAACCAGAGCTTAATAACTCTGTCCTATTCACATGTACTCCCTCCAAATGAGGATTTTCTCTCCCTTGCTGGGACTAAGCCAGACTCCATAGCCTATACCAGCAAGGACACACCATAAAGATTCTGGCTTAGATTAGGATGCAAGGCAGCACAGTTAGCTCTAAGCAGAAAGCAGCCACAGAATATCTTTATGCAGCTCACAGCAAGAAGTCCAAAGGCTGGTTTCATGACAAACCATTACAATTCAGCCATTCTGTTTAGTCTGCATTTTACTGACAAACATTCCTCTGCACGCATGAGATTACACCCTACAATCCCATTTCAGCCTCGTTTTGTCCCTCAGAACACTTACTGGTACATTTGCCAATCCTTCAGAGTGCTATTTGTACATCCATAATAGTTCGCTTGTTGTTCTGTCTTCCTTTCCCCCCAGTCATTACTCAGTTGCAGTTTCCTTCTCTCCACAGCTTCAAGAAAGTTATTTAGTGACAGCTGTTTACAGACAGAATGTCTGGCTTAAAAGCAAAAGCAAAATGGTCCTTAAAAAATACAACAAAGACGCTAAAATAAATACATCCAAGTCATGTTTTCCTAGGAAACAGGCAGCAGCCTCTGTTTCTCAGCTCAGTTTTAACTTCTCATGAACTGAGTTGTCCCCTTCTGCAACTTTACCGAGCCTTTTTGAGTAGTACAGCATAAAAAAAAAAAAAGCCCTGTTGTCAAAAGAGGAAGAGTACAGCACTTACCCCAAGCTGCTGCCAGCTCCAGCCAAGAACTGATCTCACAGGGAGTCCCAACTGAGCCTTCAGAAGCCAAATAGCTTCCCCGTTGAAATGATGTCAAATAACATGTGTTAATAAGCATGAAAGCAGCCCACAAATTATTTACATCCATGCATGAGAACTCTTTTCTTCCGCAGAGACCACCACACTCATCTCAGCACTCTGGTGATGGCACGACACTGGACTCCTAGTTGGTGGTGGTCCATGGAAGAATCCAACCTGTGAGAAGAAATAACTGCCTGATTATTTACTCAACTGTATAGCTTTTTGCAAAGTGAAGAAGGGCTTGCACAGGAAATGACTAGATAGATTTCTCAGTAAAAGAGGGAGCCAATGAGTGCACTGCTCTTATATGGGAAAGCTGGCTGGCTATTGCAAATTCATCATGCTTAACTCCTTCCTGCACGGGAGACATCTTGTGGCTTCCAACAGCCCATTTAGACCGCAGGGGATGATCAAACCCCGGCAATGCCAGAGCCTGTGGTTCAGCTGTGAGGTTTGTCACAAGACACTCTGCCCAAGAAAAGCATGAAATCAAGAATGCATGAAAACATCTGAAGTCGACCGTTCCTGTGGGAAGCCAGTTCTCACACAATTTCACGCACCACCATTGCGAGGCAAAGCAAACCCCAGCAGACAAACCAGCCAGAATGTTATAACAAGCGGCAGCTGCTCATCACATGGACAAGAGCCTTCACAAAGCAGCCCCATTCCTAACTACTTATGCCACTGGTTACTTAATTTACCTCTGGTGCTCAGCTCTTGATGGGCTCTCCAGAAGAACCACCAAGTCTTGGAAAGGCTATTTCTGGGAGCACAGGTGGCATCCACACAACAGACTGTAGCTGACACCATGCACATGCACTAGCACTGTTCACTTATCACTCTGAAAACAGGACCCCTGGGACACAGAAGATATCAGACTGCATGAAGCGTCTCAGTTTTTTCTCTTCTAACAGAACTGTGGGCAGAGGACACAGCACGATCATTATTCCCAGTAGCAACAGTGCAGGATGACATTCAGCACCTTCGATGGCCTTCCAAAGCACAAAGCCGCTCAAGAGTATCGTCATCCACGCTGTGAAGAGTACTGATGGCTTACAAAGCCATATATGTGATCTAGAAATCATCTAGCAAATCTCGTTAATTAACAAAATGATATATAACTCTTTTAACCAACAGCTTGACAGCTATGAATTAGTTAACAAGCGCTCCAAAAAAGTTGAGAAGGGATGCGTCACATCCTGACATATTGAACTCTGGCTATGGATTTTTTCCAAAGCTACCACAAGCTTACAGAGAACCCAAAGCAATATTCAAGTGACAGGACAGCAGGACAATATGGGGCTCCCGAGAACATTAATTTCCTTGGGTAACAACAGGTGTAGAATCAAGCAGGATAGTTTAGCATAAACTTCCCTCCCTCAGCTTTCATGAGTCAGCCCACCATTCTAACCAGGGAATGAAATCAGCCTACAAAAGTGCATCATAACAGATTTGGTTCTGCTCATCTGGTTTTAATAGTTTACACAGAGGAAGGCAAATGTGCAGTTTGCTGGGAAAGGAATCACTGCCAGCTGGGAGGTCAATGCAGCAAAACAGAAACATGGAGCTGCTGGGAGAACACAGAAACATCGGTATGCGTGCACACATGCGCACACGCTTTCATAGGGAGGATGCTATGACAAACATTTGCATTTCCATTTTGGAGAAGGGAGAAGCAAGGCAGAAGAAAACTTCAAACCGCAAAGAGAGAAATTAAACGCTAAGTGAAATTTTAAGTTCAGTCAAAGAAAGTATTTCAAAATGAGCACTGCAGCACAAGTATTGATGTACGCTGTATGAAGAAGCACAGTTATTCATGGCAGAAAAAACAGTGACTCAAACCTGATTAAAGAGAATGCAACAGGAAGCAGAAGGGGGGACAGCTTTCTGAGATGTGAACGAGCGTCTCCTAAAGTATGTGTTCTCTGATCATACACAGAGTATAGATGAGCACACCAATTTTTGCCAAATACTGAAAAATACTTTCATAATTAATATCATATTTTCTGTATGCTGTAAACAGAAAAACAAAGTCATTTACTTTTGTCTGTTGTTTAATTACAGCTTTGATCTGTAGCCACTGCAAGGGGCAGCAACTCAAAATCACCCTCACAAAAGAAAGACTGCAAGAGTTGCATGTAGAGAGGAGCATTAAAAGATTTCCTGGAACAACGGGTGGGTGAGCATTTCATTCAGACCTCACGAAGGTCACAAGGCTAGAAGAGCAGACTGTTACTTTTAAAAGTGCTCTTTCAGACTTGGGGAAATATCAAGTCTTTTTGCAACGCCAAATTTTCGTATGACTGTTACACCAAACTCAAACTGGAGGGATGAATTTCAATTTATTATAATTACGCAGATGGAAGCTTACAGTGTTAGAGGGACCAGACGGTGCCCAATTTAAAATCCAAATATTCTTAAACATAACTACTTTTCAAAACTTGCTACTGCCCCAGTAACTCAATTATTTACACAACAGTGTATTGCTAACTACTGGTCTTGCATCGCTGCATTTAAATGCTCCCATCTATATTACTTTTCAGGCCTTTGAAGGAAGTATGCACCTCTCCTATACCTTCAGTGGAAGTATCTTTGTACTCAATATATCCTTTTCTACAGGATTACAGCCTGAAGAAATGCTCCACTGACAATTATACAATCGACACAACACAAAATCCGCTTCAAAGTAGCATTTCTGTGCAGCAACAGTGACACCGGGTGGTCACTCCGTGATCCTGAATTGCTGCTGCTTAACACTGAAAAACAGCACAAGCAGCTGCAAGCACACCCTTGTGAGAAACATTACCCTCCAGCCAGGGTAGCACTGCAACGCTACAGCACCTCTCAATTTCACTTCTTGTACTTCTGCTGTTCTGTGCCGTTTCTAATAAGTCAAATATTATTAACTTTCAGCATGAGCCTTACCTGGTGGGCTGGGAAAACAGTGTGTGGACACATAGGTAGTTTGGCACAGTCAATCCAGGCTGCACAGACCAGGCCTGAGCTGCTCCCCGGCCACCACCCCAGCTTGGTTTGGGCTGAATGCATTGTGGTCACTGAGTGCACACTGGTGCTGGTGCACCCATGCCTACACATCATGTTCCCAGGGTCTCTGCTCTTGCAGAGCAGGCCAGGCCCCAAACTTAGCTCTGCATGAAGCCAGCTGCACCTAATGGCACTTAGGAAGTCTGCACTGCATTTGAACAGCACTTCGGCAACAGTTCCCATTCAGTAATTGGCTCTGGAAAAACCTACCTGCCCCTTACAGACTCGTTCCTAACCCAAAGCAAACAAAAACCCCCTTGAACCCACAGCCTGCCTAATCTGATCAGTTAGCTACTGTGACTGTTACCATGCAGCACTGTTTAATTATTAAAAGAACCTGAGAAAGGACATCTCTTAATTATAATCCAGGGAAGATAAAGCAGCTGATTTCACTGTGAGCAAATAATCAGCAAAGAAAGTAAATTTATTCACTGCCATATCTCCTCTGGACTGTGAGTTACTCAGGGAATTTATACACTAAGGAAAGCAGGGAATCAAAACCTGCTGCAAATAATTCCAGTCACAGCTGTGACTAGCAGAAGTGTGTTTAAATTGCCTACAATCAGCAGGTTAAATCTTCCCCCATGTTCACACCCATATTAAGAACGCACTGCCAGTGTCAGCACTGCTGTTCCAGTCATATCCAGGACATGCTCAGTAATGTAAGATGTGAATGTGGTATTTGAGCAACGCTGCACCATGCGCCACCACTAATGAACAAAGTGCACTGGCACAGCACTGTGCATAGAGCGCATGGATGCTGACTCCAATTGAACACTTAAGCAGCTCTTAGTATTCAACAGATCAAGGTCTCGACAGCCATGATCCTTATAGCCTGCTTAAGTTTCCATAAGAAGGAACTTGGATGACGACATCCATCCTTTAAGGTCCATCATTATGTGCCTGAAACGTGCCTGAACCATCATCTCAAACTTCACCTCGTATTTCCCAATGCCTGCTTGGATGGATATCAGTTCCAAATGCTTTTGTGAAGGCCAGTGTTTAACCCAAAGAGACCCACAGCAGCCACCCCTCTGCTATGCAGTACTGAAGGCATTTTCATTAGAGCTGATCAATTCAAGCAGGCTCCCCAAACTGCCCACAACAGCGCCTACTGCAGAGCCCTTCCCCAGATAGGAAGTGTTTGATGTAGTGAAGCCTACAACAAAACAGCCCGCTTCCATTTTATGAGTGGAACAGACAACGCAATTTGAAGTATTAAAATACCTAACTGGCAAGCCACGTACACAGCCTGCACCAAGGACAGTGGGACAGAACCTGCACCTAACTGTGAAGTAATGGAATCTCAGGCCCACCCACCTTAACACAGCACAGCTTACAATCCACTCCTACTACCTTAATCCTGCATTAATGTTTGATAGCAGCTTTCTGAAATCCTTACTGGAACGCTGTATCCTTTCTGGAAACACAGAATCAATTTAAGTTCTAGAAAGAACTAGTGACACTAGTAGTGCTTAGACCTTAATCCGTGTTGATTCACCACCAAATACCTCCACAGCCCACACAAAGATGCTTAAGCTACCACAGAAAAAAGCCAAAAGGAATGTGTGTGTCACTTACATATACTGGGTTTACTAGCTCAAATTGGGACAGACAACAGAATGTAATGTGCAACAGAAAACTTTATTAGCATTTCAACATACAGATCAGCAGTTAAGTTTGCATTTAATTTAAGACATTAGAAAGACTACAGTGCAAACACAAGTGCTGTGCATCTTGCTTGACAAGACTGCTGACAACTAATAGCCACCCCTGAGGCGCAGCACCAGATGCAGGGTGGACTCCTTCTGGATGTTGTAGTC